AAGTCAGTCCACACACACAGTGTTACTGCACAGTAAGGTGTTTACACGTGTGTTACTGTGCAGTAACTACTTGGGCATAAATTTGATACCTGCATAATGTGGGCATTAAATTTATGCTCAGATCAGTATAAGTTGATATTTACTGCACAGTATGGGTGTGCACATGTAGATGCGCACCAGTACTGAGCAGTAATTTCAGTTACTGTGCAGTAAATGTGCATGAGTAGATGCACCCAGTGACTACCCAGTGACTGGTGATATGGGCCAGGAGAATATTACAGATGATGATGACCTAGAGGGGTGACTTTAATTAAGAGCTTTATGGGTTCAATTCAAAATTTTCTTAAACATGTTAGCAGAACACAATATATATATTTTTTTATGTAAAATTGATTTTTTTTTTTTTTTGTCAAACACCTACAAATCTTTCGCAAGAGAAATTAAAAAAAATGTGCAAAAATAATTGGTACTTTTCAGCATGCTCTAACTGGTGATATTTTATGGGCATGAAGTCATACCTCTCTGGAACATAGTCCAGTTGTGGGTTGAACAGCTCGTTGTCACCAAGAATAGACCATACCGTCCTTTTGCTCAACTTCTCTTGTGTCAACCAGTCATCATCTATATTTTTGTTTTGCTACAGCTATGATGTTTGTTCATGACATCACTGGGTGATTGGTTCCTTTGATAAACATCAGTACAGTTTTATGTAAAGCAACCTAACGTGGAATTGTATTGCATTTTCAAAAGCATGTATTGAACAAACATTGGTTCCATTCAAATCTAAAGAGATAAAGGCCACATCCAGACATGCATGGACGTTTGCTTCCCCGGGGGCAACTAGTGGTAGCGCACCTTATGCTGTCACTGGGTGGCCCTGGGGAACACCTGTGCCATGTACACTCTGGTGTGTAGCAAGTTACTTTGGGTGGGGTAAGGGAAAGTGGGGCTAGCACTGGGCTGGCCCCAGAAGCATTACCTGGGGGCCTCCTGGGGCTACAGCTGCATCGCTTCTGTCATGCAGAGCCTGGCTGACAGAGGAGTGTGGCTCTGGACAGTCAGGCTTCAGCTTTGGGTGGGGCATGCTGCTGCCACGTGTGCCACTCCACTTTTTTTGGTGGGTTTGCTTGACCCCTGCATATCTAGGGGTCAACCCCTCCCACTCCAAGCTGCTCCATTGCAGCATGCAGAACAACTGAAAGTGCATTATGTGGCACCACAGACATGTCTACGGTGTCACATACTGCATAGCCACGCTGTGTTTGAAAACTCCTAGTAATCAATGACTAGGGGCTGCATATCTAACAAAACTTGGACATAATAGAAACCATTCATGTTCTGCTATGCCACTGGTTGCATAGGTTGGGGAGAAAATGAAAACACGTTGCAAGTGCTACATAGGCATATTGTCTGGAGAGCAGAGGTATGAAGAGTAGCATGGTGATTTCTTCGAACAAGAAAACATCTTACATAGTAGTGAGGGGCATGCATAAAAGAAATGATAGTTAAACGCAATGCCGGAAGTGTAGATACCTATAGAAGTGGGTTTCGAATATGCTGTCTGATTTATATCTTGATTATTATATAACTAAACTATTTTTTACGGAGGTGAATTTCAATCTGTAAGAGGTACTGCTCCTGTCTATGTATAGTTGTGCTTGGTTGACAATCAAGAACATTTTCCTGGCTGGCTTTTTCTGGCTGCTATATTTATTTATTTTTTTCAGATATAAGATTCTGTAAAACTAAAATTGAAGCAGAAAAGCCAAGCTTGTTTTCTGTCATTTACTAGAGCAACTAAGTGAAACAAATTATAGTACAGGGAGGACTTAGAAAATGAAATGAGAGTAAATTAAATATTTTAAAAGTAGGTTAAAATTAAGTAGGTATAAAGCTGGGATGTTTTCAAGTGCATCTGTGATAAAGACTAGCTCTAAATGTAGCACAGCAAATTACACTAAAATCACATGAGAGACCTGACTTATCCTTATTTTTCTACTTGCTTGGAAATGGATGCCTCACAGTACAGAACATAGCCGGCATGTATATCGATTACCATTATCTGCTCTGATTTCCATCTGAAAAGAAACTATGCTGAAGGTCATCAGTGAGCAACCAAGCTGAGAGATTTTAGTCTCCCTGGTAAACACAAATTAGTGGATTTAGCATCTTGTTTTTATTTAATTTTCACAGTCCCTGTGAACTTGATAAACTATTTTCACAAATTCTGTGTTCTAAAAATTTAATTGCATTTTTATTCTTGTATTCTGAGTTAATTATATGGCAACCCAAGTTTATCTTTTATATATTAAATCTAGCAAGTACTCTTTTAACAATCAATTGATATTTAATTACAATAGAGTAGCTTCCCTATTAAATCTAAATTAAATGCTCATTCAAGACTATTAAAATGTTACTGGGCTATCCAATACCAAATGCAATACAATCCAGTATAAACTATTGTTCAGTTGATTTTCCAAAGGTGTTCTGTAGACCTGAAAAGAAAAACTGACCTCAGATGACATCTTTGGTGAATTAACAAAATTGCTTTTTTCAAATTTGATTTTTAATGAATGATAACTAATCTAAAGTGACCCTCTTCTGTGTCTCATAGCTTGAGCATAATGGTTTAAGACTTAAAGAATCCACAAGAATTGCAGACTGTGCACCACAAGAGTCTCAAAGATTGCCTGGTATGATAAGGATCTCCCAACCCTGGTCATGGAGCAAGGCCTGGGAGCTTCCTGCTGCCAGGGCAGGGGACATTGTCCCCACGCACGTTCTGGTGTCAGAGCCTGCCCCAGCAACAGGCAGCTCCCAGGGACAGGGAGCAATATCCCAGGTCCCACCAGGAGACAGCTGTTTCCTGCCCCCTGCTCTCTGCTAGCCCCTCCCTCTGGGTACTGCAGAGGTCCAGTGCAGGGCTGCAGGGAGCGGGAGCAGTCTGCTGCCCAGAGCGCAAAATTCTTCCCGCCTTCCTGCACGTGTAGATGTGTGCCTGGGAGACTTTACTCTAGAGTACCTTACTCTAGAGTAAACTGCTCCTGGATTATTTGCATGTGCAGCTGTGCCTGGTGATTCCCTAACTTCTGTACATAGCCTGTTGAAATGATTCTGAGGGTTTTTTTCCTCTCTTTTTTCCTTGGAAGAGATGGTTTTTGCTGACTTGTTGTTTTGGGATTGTGAGGAATTTGTTTAGCTTTTCTCTCCTTTTCTTTGTGTGAAAGGGGTTTCTTTTGGTGTGGTGTTGGTTATTTTTGTTTGTTCTTTTAAAGATGAAGATGGCAATTGCTTGAGAAGTTTCCAAGTATAGTCAGAGAAATGAGGATGATGGAGTGTGGAAAATATGGGATGGTTATCATCTTCAAGTAACATCAGTTATATATGCATGAAGTCTTGCATCACAGCACTCATGAGAGAGAAGATCAAAGGGTTGTCAATGCAGCTGAAGAGAATGATGGAGCAATTTGAACAAGAGAAGCAAGACAGGAGAAGTGAAGCTGAACAGACAAATAATAAGCCCTGCTAAAAAAATGAACGAGTGGGCTCACCATCAAACAAGTGAGGCTACTGATAGAGGCATATGACCAGGAGAGCAAGGAAAAAAAAATGACTTAGTAAAGAGGAAATAAGGCTAAGGAACTGGATTAACATGTTAGAACATGCAGGTGAGAAAGCAGGCAAGATCAGAGTTTTCATAGAAGTTACGGCTGGCAGGGACCTTGCAACATCGGGTCCAGCCCCCTGCCCAAAGGGCAGGAAGTCAGCTGGGGTCAGATGATCCCAGCACCGTGAGCATCCAGGTGTTTCTTGAACATATCCAGAGTAGGTGCTTGCACCACTTTTGGGGGGAGTCTATTCTAGACTCTGAAGACTCGGGCAGTCAATACATTTTTCCTTAGTCATCTAAAATGGTCTTCCAGCAGTTTGTGACCACCAGACCTTGTCTTCACTTGAAGTGCTGTGGTGAACAGACATTCTCCCACTTCCTGATACACAACTCTTATGTACTTATAGGCTGCCACCAAGTCCCCCCTGAGCCTTCTCTTCTCCAGGCTGAAGAGTCCCATACCTCTCCTCATAAGGCCTGCTCTCTTGACCTCTAAACATAGATTTCATAGATTTCATAGACATTAGGGCTGGAAGGGTCCTTGGAAGGTCATTGAGTCCAGCCCCCTGCTTCAGGGGCAGGAAGTCAGCTGGGGTCAAAGGATCCCAGCAAGATAAGCATCCAAATGTCTCGTAAAGGAGTCCAGAGTAGCTGCTTGCACCACCTCTGGAGGCAGTCTATTCCAGGCCTTGGGGGCTTGGACGGTAAAGAAAGTTTTCCTTATGTCCAGCCTAAAATGGTCTTGGAGGAGTTTGTGACCATTTGACCTTGTCATCCCTTGGGGCAGTCTGGTGAACAGGTGTTCCCCAGATCCTGATGTATAACCCTTATATATTTATAGGCAGCCACCAAGTCCCCCCTGAGCCTGCGCTTTTCCAACCTGAAAAGTCCCATGACTCTCAGCCTGTCATCATAGGGTATGTTCTCCTGCCCTCTCTAATCATGCATGTGGCTTTCCTGTGGGCTCTCTCAAGCTTCCACATCCTTTAAAAATTGTGGAGCCTAGAAATCAATGCAGTACTCCAGCTGCAGCCTCAGCAAGGCCAAGTAAAGTGGGAGGATGATTTCTTGGGTCTTGCTTTAGATGCATCAGTAGATGCAAGCCAGACTTTTATTTGCTTTGTTGGCTGTGGCATTGCATTGTTGGCTCATGTTCATCCTGTGATCAATCATAAGCCCCAAGTCTCTTTCAGTCATGGTGATAGTGGTGCTAGATCAGATGAACTGATGGCACAGAAAGAAACCGACCCCTCTACCATGGCTCCCAGTCCTGAGCAACATTGTTCCCCCTCATATCCAATGGGAAGTTGCAACTAGCAAGCTACTGGAGAAGATCTATGCCAATCCAAGCCTGCCACTGTACGATGATCTATTAATCCACTTGCTGCATGTCTGCCATCACGACACTCACTGCTGCAATGGGATTGCATGGCAGAGACTGGTATGAGGAATGGAGGTCAGCATTTCCACCAAACAAGTTCCTTATCACAGATCCTAAAGTCTGCCTCCTGTCTTCAACCTGCCATGCTGTCAGTGGGCCTTGCTGGACAGATAAGGTGGATAAGGTCAGATGGCAACACCTGAAATATTTACAAACCAATGCAAAGTTTGGGAAACAGGATGGAGAAACAGGAACTCTTTCTGTGGAACATGAAATCAGGCATTATAAAAACAATAAGCACAGTAGAATAGCAACCATGACTAGAACATGGATATCACTAGATACAAGCTGTTTAGGAAAGGGATTGATTGTAATGAAACAAAATGTAATGGTATAGATGCAACAGGATCTATCATCAGGCATGCACTGTTCAATATAGTCATCGGCGACTTGGATGAGGCGGTGTAAAGCACCTTGTTCAAATTCATGGATGACACTAAGATGTGGGCATGCTAGGGGAGAAGGACAGGCTACAACTGGACCTGGACAGGTTACAGGGGTGGGCGGATGAGAATAGGATGGGTTGCAATACTGCCAAGTGCAAGGTACTGCACCTGGAGAGGAAGAACCTGGGGATGTCATTTTAACTTCCTTGATACAAAGCAGACAGCAAATGCAGTCGATATTGTGCTACTGGGGCTGAGAGAGCTGATAGATTTCTCTACCCAGTGGTTGCTATACCAATGACAAGCAATGCTATCCTAGATTTAGTTTGCATACAGAGTGATACCAGGACCTATCAAACAGGCTGGCCAACCAGGGAGGTTGTGGGGGGGGAGGGGGATTGGGGACAGTTTCTTCTCTGTT